GTGCGGCGTTGTTTGAGGGGTGCCTGTGAGCCATTTGCGACGGAAAGTTTTCGTTGGGCCTTGGAGAAGGACCGCAGTCTGTATGGCCCGAGTCTTGACGGTTTAGCTAGCGTCTCTGGCGGTACCGACTGGGGAAGTTGGTCCCTCGCCTGCTGACAATTGGCGGTCTCAAATAAACGAATTCTGTCCCTGACTGGCGAGTCTCCAACATTTGCAGAATGGGATTTAGGCACCGGCGCCTTGGTAGTATTATGATTCAGTTGCCACTTTGTGGGCGAAGTAGATATCGCCTGCTGTGGTGAATCGGACAACCACTCCTGACTGTTAGCCAAAGTGGCAGACGATGAATACCGGCGCGTGCGGCTATTTGTGCTCGTAGGAATAGCGGTGGATGCTATCACAGGCATGCTTGGGCTCGACTTGGTTGAACTCCGGTCGTTTCTCGTCTTCCAACGCTTCGAGCAAAGAGTGTTGGATGCGCCTGGTATCTCCGCCGGGAATCTGTGAGTTGGGACGGAGGGTTTCGTCAAGCCATTCTCAGTATTACATTGTGTCAGTCTTTCGCTAGGTGATCCTTCGCGTGAAAGCCGCTCGAACAGCTGCCTCCTTTCTCCGACGAAGGTCGGGTTCTGACTCTTTCGATCCTTAACATCGAACTTGACAGGTTGTTGCAAAGCTACCTGCCGTGCCTGCGACTTCTGAGCAGTGGGATGAGGTCGAACCTTTGCACATGAATTCCCCGGCATCATGAGAAACTCTAATCCACCATCGACCCCGTTTGTTTTCCGTGTTGTCGGTCGTTCGCCTTGGTCGGCCGGGCCACCGCATCTCAGGCCGGGCTGGCAAGAAGTGGCTCCAACGACTCTGTCATCGCCGATGTGTGCTTTTGATGTAAGGGTGTCGAGCTGCACGGATATTTGCATCCGGGTAAGTGTTTGCCCATTTCGGACGTCGTGTGCCACGGCGGACGATTTGGGGGTGTTTTGTTCTGGTGGAGCTGATCGAAGGAAAGCGCTGGCTTGAAGCCCGCCAGTAGCATCGAGCATCTCGAATTTTGACACAAGCCTGGACAAGCGATCGGCTGATTCTGGATGACGGGATGTTGGATCGTAAGAGCCGGCGGCCGAATCCATTTCATCAATGTTCGAGTGTGATCCTATCTCAGCGACTTTGTTGATGCGGACATGCTTGGGTGGTGACATGCGGAAGTCACCTGGTGCTGAATCACCGGTTAGCCGGTTTTGGCGTGAGAGATACAGCAGCTCCGGCTTCAAAGATGAGTTCGTAAATTCCAAGGGTGGTTGGACGGCCATGGGTTGGATCTTCGGATCTGACAGTGTTCTTTTCGAAGTCGTTGTATGTGTTCCGAGCTGCAGGAGTGGCTAGAGATTAACGTTCAAATAGACGTGAATAGCGAACCCTGAAAAGTTGCATGACAGTTGAGAAAACTGAGGTGGGTAATAGTACTCAGATGAAAAAGAGACCTCCCGAAGCATGATCAAACTGAAAGGCCGCTGCACTCAGTTGCGGGCAACATTCAGGGTTCATTTCGGGTGGGAAAAGCGTTCAACTCGCTAGTTAGGCCTGCCAAACTGGCTGACTCTCCTCAGGGAAGGAGAACCTCAAAACAACCCCATGCGTGAAGCCAGAACAACCCACAGCGGCATACTGGGTACCAAATCCATTCGCACTGTTCTGAACATGTCTATCGCCTGCAAGATTGGGTCGCAAATTATTGGCTCTAAACACCAACGTCAAGAGAACAAACTCGTGATGAACAAAATCCGAAAGGGGGCACAGCGAGGTGCTAAAGAGGCACAAAGAAATGGATTCAACGTATTATAGAAGCCTAGGAGAACTTTGTTCATTGCAACATGCTGTCCCTGATATATGCAGAAATACCTACGATGAGAAGGAGTAATTGGCAAGTCAATCGGTCGCGTTAGGACGGCCACACCAAGAATTCGGTCACAATGTGATCCGGGAGGGACCCCAACGCCGCTAAACCCGGTCCCATGCGCATCACATCACCTAAACGAGCTAGCCATCCTACTCCTTCGACCGCGAAGCCTTCAAGCAGCAGCTGCTCTCCCAACGAGCCGGCCGCCGGCAAGCACTCCTTCTTCCCCCCAACCCATAGTAAACTTACACGCCACCGCGGTGCTTTAGATTAACAAGGGCCACATCCTCAGCATCCGCCAACGACACATTTTCCCCTCGTCTGTATGGACCCTCCGTCGGTTCTCCCAGCCCATCATCGAGCCGCCGCTGCTGTACGCGGCGATGTGCGTCAACACAGCAGCACACCCACAATTACCGCGATGAATTTCGCCGCTTTTGCCCGGCGTACTGCTGTTGGCACACCCAGCCAACGATGGACGCCAAGTTGCGAGATTGTCCACACGTGGATGATGGTCGTCATCATATTGAAGGCCACAGTGACTGCAACCAGCCGAAACGGAACAACTGCGGTGGCGGCCCTCCAAACAGGGCCCACAGGCGCAGGATAAACCAGGCCTGCGAGTACAACGCCGCGATGGTGAGCCGCGATGGTGAGCCGTGACGGAGACTCTGTGCGCCATTGCGGCGACGCCGAGCCCCTAGGCGTGATACGGCACGACGGCCGCGTCCTGCGACACGTCAGTCGCAAAGGCCTGACGAAAGACAGCCACGTTAAAAAGGCCATTTTCCGGGAGCATTTGACGGAAGATCTGTAGGGACTCCCAAAACGGAGAACCGGCTCCCGTCAAGGGGGAACCTCAGGGAAATATGTCTTATATAGGACGCACCACACCACAAGATCACATTTCATGAAGCTGCTATTATCAAGCTGGTATCTTGGGCGATAGAGATGGCTTGATAGCCCAACCTTGATTCTTGATCAAAGAGCAATATCAAGATCCGAACTACTTCCCATAGGCCCCAACTAGGAGAAATTATCTCAAAAAGCGGATTCTAAGTAGAACTGAAGGATAGCGAATTATGAAGTAGGCACGGTAACTTAACTAACTTGTCCGTTATCCTGGCATTAAATTGCTGACCAAAGGGGACCAAAGGAGACCAAACTGCGGCAGTGTTCTCATGACCGAAATTAAACAACCAGATTGTGGCAGTAAGTGTGTTAAAAGGAGACATTTTGTGGCTCCTTGGTAGCTGATGGAAGTGCGGATGAGGTTCGGAAGTTGCGAACAGAATTGAGAGAACCCCACCGGCGGCATTGCGTGCTGCACTCGACTTGTGCGGGGCTTGACTGCTCAACAACCTGAGCTGTCCCTTCCATCTAGCACCGTCTACATAGGTAGACCGGGAATCTGCACCGCAGCGACGGGTTCAAACAAGATATTTAGCTGAGGAATACCGCTGAGGAAGTTATCGAATCCGAAAGTGCGATAGTTGAAGGTCGGCGTGGTGTTGCATCCATGATGGCGCGAGTTGTGCGTTTTTACCGTTGACTTCTGAACTTCCGGTTCATTCCCAATTTCACCTGTCCCTTTGAGTTTCTCCTTGTCTCCGATTTCTTCGAAAGTCAAGTCTTTAAGGCTGACTTTGCGTCAATGGCTAGGCGGTAGGTCAGTTGACGTCAACGGCCAGCATGACCCATAACCTCGCCCAATGCCGCATCCTTGTCAAAAAGGCAGTACAGGCCGGCTCAAAGGTCAGCTCTTTTGATTCCGCATGGCTGCCATCTCCCCTCGATGCGAAAAGGGGCTGAGTCTTTACCTAGGCCCTCTTTCTCCCCGAAGCGAGCGACTACATTGCCAGCTCCCCGGCCGAAAGCGTTTCTCTCGTTAGGTCGGTGGAAAAAAGCGAGTTTGTGTTGGGCCTACGTGAAGAAGCTCGCCGCTCGAAGCTTCCAATCCACGTTGGCGTCCATGAGCCAGGGCTCGACCCAAGCAAGGTGAAAAACACTGTACTCTGGATCAATGAGGGCGGTGAGATTGCCCATCGATACCAGAAACTCCACATGTTCGACGTCGACATCAAGGATGGGCCAGCATTAAAAGAGAGCAAGTACGCGCTCCTCCCCTCAACTTGTTTCTGAGTTGTGTCTGTACTGACGGCCGTGTCCTCAGTTCCGTTGAACCTGGAAATGAGATTCCAACTCCATTCGATACGCCATTTGGAAAGGTTGGCCCAACAATATGTTTTGATGTACGTGCTGTTAGTCGCCTTTCCCGCGCCTCTGCTTATTTCGTCCAGCTGCGGTTTCCCGAAATCAGCATCGCCCTGAAACGCCTCGGGGCCGACATCATCACATACCCGTCCGCCTTCACCGTCCCCACCGGTAAAGCTCACTGGGAGGTCTTGCTCCGGGCTCGGGCAATCGAGACTCAATGCTATGTAATTGCTGCTGCTCAGGTTTGTGCTCGACACCCGACCTCATGTGTTTTCTGGCTGTGATAGCTAAGGTCCGCTCAGGTAGGGAGACACAACGAGAAGCGTCTCAGCTACGGTCACAGCATGATTATCAACCCGTGGGGGGTAGTGGTGGCCGAACTAGGGGGCACCAGTGAGGAACCTGAAATTGCCACGGCCGAGATTGACCAAGACCTGTTGCGAAAGGCCAGGTTGGAGGTGCCACTCCCCAGAAGAACGTAAGTTGTTTGTCTCCCGCCATCTGATGCGAGGTTTTGACTGTATGTTAGAGACGTGTACCCAGAAGTGTAAGGACGACCTGGTTCCGGCTCTGAAGCCCTCATTGATTTTGCGCTTGAAGTTATTACGCCGCAGCTGTCAGTTGCGGTAAGAGAATACCGTCTTAACGGAGCATACACCTTCAAAGGGGGATCGACACTTTGTTTCTAGACAACACCCAGATAGTTCCCGCCATGAAGAGTGATCCATACTACCAGATTTGGCCTTTTGTTTTCTTTCTCTCACGTTTCACCTTGAATCTTATTAGGCACCTCAGCTGTACAGATCGCAATCCTGGAGACACCTCCACTCACGCCAGCAGCCTCTTGTGTGGCCGTGTGAGCCGTCTCCACAACAGCATCCACGGCAACTTGGCCGAGTGGTCTAAGGCGACGCACTCAAGGATTACCCTTCCCCTTCGGAAAACAGGGGCTGCATTGCGTTCTCGCAAGAGGCGTGAGTTCGAATCTCACAGTTGTCAGTACTGAGGCCTGATAAGACAGGCTTTTCCCTTTTGCTCCCACCTGTAAGGCGCAGTTTCTCTCGACTCCTCTTTTTGAGTTGGCGGGAAGCTCGTGTATCGTTGCGTAAGGCAGATTGGTGGTTGCGAAGTATGGACTACAAATGGCAATAATTCGCAGCGGCTAAATTGACGTTCATGTTCGAGTCGAAGTTCTCCACCTGTCTATTAGGTTCGATTCCAATGCACACCTGGCAAGGAGATACACACTCTGTTTTGTAACCGAACTGCTGGCACTTCGCAGTATTTTTTGCGCAGCACGTGTAGCGTGAGCAAGAAGTGCCTGTAACTCAATTAATACTCGGTTAGAATACCGAGGCCGGGAGAAAAGTGTCAAGCAGAGGAACCGCTCGACTAGTTCCGGTAATTGGGGTATTTATCCCCCGGAATGCCCTCTCCAATAAGAAGGGAGCTTGGCTACCACTACCGGCGTCTAAGAGGATGCCAAATACCCGAAACGGGGAACGGAGCATTCCGCTGTAATCTGTTTTTGGTGGCATTTCACGCCTTAGGACTCCCGCCGCCCGAGCGAGGGACTGCCCCAGACCGGGTATTTGACGGCATGCATAGACCGGGGTTATAAACGTTACGCCAGGCCTCATGGAAGATGTCGAGACGCTGAAGGAAGTGGTTGTACAATACGCGGCTCGCGATCACGGCTTCCGTATCGTGCCCTGCTGCTCGATTTGGACAAGCGCTCCAGTCACATCCCCTTCTCGTGCCCTGTTGTCCTTCGGCGGACGGGGAGTGGAAACTGGCTATTCAGGGGTGCTCGTCGAGATATAAAGTTGCCCAAGTTCCCTCGGGTTTCTAAGCTAATCCAACGATTCACAAGTTGCAGGTCGACATCTCAAGCGGAATCCACATCCAGCAACCACCACAATGCACTTCTCAAGCCTGATCTCGGCCTTTGGCCTGGCCAGCCTGGCCCTGGCAAGCCCAATCAAGGTGGCTGAGCGTCAAGCGGAAAAGCTGAGGATCAGTAAGTAGAAACCCGATGACCACAGCAAAGCCCAACGCTCGATGGCTAACAGATACCAGTGCCCCTGGGTGACAGCATCACCGAGATCACCTGCTGGCGCGCCCTCGTGTGGGACCAGCTCGCCGAGGCGGGGTACGCCGACCAGGTGCAATACGTCGGGTCTCAGCAGAGCAACCCGCAGAACTGCCAGCCCAAGACGGCCAACTGGGACCAGCACCACGAGGGCCACTCGGGCTGGCTGGCAATCGACATTGCCAACAACTACCTGACCAACTGGCTCCGAAGCACGCCCGCCGACATTGTCATGTTCATGCTGGGCACTAATGACGTCGTCCGCGGCCACACCACCGACGAGATCATTGCTGCCTACACCAAGATGGTCGGGATCATCCGCGCTGCGAATCCCAGCACCAAGATCATTGTAAGCCCTCCTCGTCTTGTCTTACTCCGTAGTCTCACAAATCCTGACCTCGTCGTTCTCTTACCAGGTCGACCTCGTCATCCCGCTCCCCTTCTCCAACGGCCCGATCCAGTCCATCAATGCGCGCATTCCCGACTGGGCCGCCGGCCTCAGCACCGAAGAGTCACCCATCGTTATTGCCGACTGTTACCAGGGCTTCACCAACTCGATGCTCCGCGACGGCGTGCACCCCAACCTCCAGGGCGACGAGCTTATCGCCTCGCGCGTCGGGCCTCTCCTGCTCGACTACGTCGCCCAGTCGCTTGGTCAGTAAAGGGGTCTAAGGTAAACTGAAGAAAAGGATCTTGAGGGAAGATGGCTGGGCGGGTGAGGGAGATACTATCAACGCGTTTGTGAAGCGAACCGGACCTAGAGATGAGCAATGATACATGATAGCGATGTTTTGAAAAATGTTGGTAACGACGGCGAATCAATACTCGGCCATTACCTGCAAATGTTAGTTCACGGGTTAACAGGGAGAGCCAGAATGACTTGCCCCCATCGGCCCTCGGCTGGCGGCAGCTTGGGGTCTTGGGCCGGTGGTGTAGGCGGCTGTGGGAGCGTTCATTGGAGTCTTGCTCCTCACCCTGGTTGATCGTGACATTTTAAGCTCAGGCCATCTTTCTTCTCTCCTAGGCCTGGAAGCGGCGGCGGTTCTTCTCCTTCTTAGCCTCCATCAACGTTACTTTGCTTAGTTATTTTGTTCCTCTATTGCCTCAGCCCTTGTCAAAACTCACCTGTGTCCGCTCCTCCTCGGTTTAAATGTCGAGCTGTTTTCATATGATAAGGTGTTGGACCTGATATCACCAAGATTGCTAACTTACGTCGCGTCATTTTACATGAATGGCATCCGCCGTGGAGATGAATCTTTGCCGTTGAGTTCGTTGATTCTGGACCAGCGAAGGCGGTCAGTGAATACGAATGACATTCTTTACCTCCCCTGCCAATCCAGATACAGAATCAAGCATCAACCGCACGATCCTTTTGGGCTACGCGGTCTCATCCACCTTCCCCCAAACAGCAACTATCGCTCGTACAAGAGAGATACAATGGGCGCAGGGAGTTAGCTGGCTGAAGAAGCGCTTTCTGTGGTGTGGTGCGTCCTATATAAGACATATTTCCTTGAGGTTCCCCCTTAACGGGAGCCGGTTCTCCGTTTTGGGAGTCCCTGCACTTTCTCCTTCTTTTGGCGCCCGATGTTAGGATACAAAAACCCACAGTCTTAGTCTTCTGAGTTACAGGATTAGCCTGCCGTCCCTTCACCACGAATCGTGCCACCGGATCGCTCTTCCACTCGTAGTTGCTTCAACACTTTGCCTTGTAGCGCATCCTGGTGTCTTGCGTCAGCCTTACCTAGCCAGCCCTAATTCATACAGAAAAGTAAAATATCAGAATATGGGTCCCTAGTCTAGAGCATGCAGAAGATGCTCTTTATAAATGTGACGTGGAACGACAACCCTTCAGACAGGATTAGAATAGGTTCGATTAGGCTCTCACCTACCGGACCTCTGGCATGGTCTCGATACTTGTATCATTAATTACCCTCGCATTCTGAAAGCCTTGTTACGGGAACCCACATGCCCTTGCCGCCATGCTTCCACACATTCAACTGCAGCATTAGGATCATTCATCTCGAAATTGCCCAAGCATGTCACCGTCCTAGGAAAACAAGCGTTTTGTACGTCCCAAATCGTCACATCGCAGCGGACACTAGCCGAACTCTGTCCCTCCAATGAGAACACGACTGAAAATCGACAACTTGCATTAGGCTATTCCTCGAGGCACTTTTAGCGTTCGCGATCAGATCATGCAAGACACATTAGACAAAAACCCTACAATTCAAACAATTGCCTGTCGAGCCCATACCGTTCAATAAAATGTGGCGCTTCTAGTTAACTAGCTAATTTAGGAACACCATTCCACGAACGGTAGTAATTGAACATGGCCAGTGACACCACCAACGCGCCCAACACCAAAGCCACAGACGCCGAAGCGGGGGTCGAAGCCGAAGTTGACCTGACGCAAACATATCATATCGTCGAGAGGGACACGGTGCCGGCGCTGGCACCTGAGGCCGGTAGCTCCCCCCAGAGACGTATCAACAGGATTGTCCAATGGCTGCAGCCGACCGACTTCCTCTCGCCGGGCAACGAGCTCATGAAACACCTGCATTCGTACGTTCCTGGCACCGGTCGGTGGGTTCGCCAGTCAGGGCCATTCCGGAGCTGGGCGGGCCTTGACGACGAAGGGCACGAGACTGTGACCACCCGTGGGGGGCAAGCTCATCGCTGCCTCCATGTCCGGGGCGTTGCCGGCAGCGGCAAATCTGTCTTCGCCGCCAGTACGGTGCGCGAGCTGCAGGAGTCTGGACGCGGGCGCGTCGTGCTCTTCTTCTTCTTCCGCCAGATTGTCGAAAAGAACCACACGGCCCGGTATCTCGTCCGCGACTTTGCCGCCCAGCTACTGCCGTACAGCCCTGCCCTGGTGACTGCCTTGACCGCCCTATCGCAGAAGCACGCCGTGCGCGGGAATGAGCTGGGCCTAGTCTGGCCCGCCCTGGTCGAAGCCCTCCGCAAGGATGAAAGCCTTAGGGATAGGGTGTTTTGCGTCGTCGACGCTCTGGACGAGATGGACGACGGCGAACTGGAAGGCATGCTGGCCGAGCTGGTCGCGCTTAGCACCGCTGAGCCGGCTACGGCGAGGGTGATGATGACGAGCCGACCGCTACCTCACATCGAGCAAATCCTGGGCCGTCCGGGCGTTGCGCGGCTGCGACTCGACCCGACCCTAATGTCTCCGGACGTATCGCGCTACGTCGACGCCAGGATGGCCACATTGGAACCCCCCTTAAGCGCCGACAAGAGCGAGCTAGTTAGGCAGACCATCTGCGAGCGCGCAAACGGGCTCTTCCTCCAGGCCCGCCTCATGGCCGACAACCTGGCCGAGGGCCTCCGCGACTGCCGCATCACCCCCCAAACGCTTCCCGACAGCCTGGATCGCCTTCCACGCACCCTTCGCGAAGTGTATGAGGGCATGCTGAGGGAGCACGCCAGTCGTAGCGGCGTCACGGCAGAGCAGCAAGCCAAGATCCTAATGTGCGTAATTCACGCGAGCCGGCCCCTCCGCCTGATTGAGCTCGGCTCGCTGCTCGCCCGCATGCTGCATGTCGACCTCCGTCGTGGCAAGGACCTGGTGCGCCGCGGGTGCGGCAGGCTGTTGGAGCTGCTCGAGGACGAGACTGTGAGCGTTATCCACCATTCCTTTACCGAGTTCCTGCACAACGCGAGCCGGAGAGACGACCACGACGCATTCCCGATGCTCGAAGATGAAGCATCGCATGCCATGCTGGCGGCATTGTCGCTGGAGTACCTGGACGGTTGCCCCCACTTGGACGTGACGATAGATGACCAAAGGACGTTTAACTATAATAACTTCAGCTTTACAGGCAACGAGAGAAAGCGAAGGGCCAAGATTCGTTCCGACACAAAGGTCAGTCAGCCCTTAGCGTCATATGCGGTT